GATAAAGGAAGGAGAGGGATTGGAAACGGAAGTACCGTCCCGAAATTGTCCGCGTTTCGGGTGACGTAATGAACATTCTGCATGCGCGTATATTATACGTGTGTGGAAGCGAACTGAGGACCAGCTTATGCAGCTTAGCCATGTGTATGGTACAGCCCTAGGATCGATGGCAAGTGGCATCGTACGAGCTGCAATAACTGTTGTACTAGAGGACAAAAGGCTAGTTTCATCACCATTGAGTGATGCAATGAGAACATTTGGAACAACTCTCCTTCTGAAAGTGTCAGAGAGCGACCACGAGATTGAACTGTTTGATCTGTTTTGTCAAAGGCTCTCAAAGGATATAGGAAGGATATTTAGAGATATAAGGTACGACAAACGTGCAACAAAAGCCAGTTTATGGTCTGCATTTCATGACCTTAGGAGAACACAATTGCCTAAACACTGGCAAGACCTGTTTCATGGGTTATGTAGGGAACGGGAATTTCTTGTACAGTGCGTTAATCAAGAGCTGTTTCAGCAGAAGCTGGCTAATACCTTTGCTGAAAAGAGTAGCCAGAAGAAAACTGCCGAACAACAAGGTGAAATACCTGCTGATGAATTGAATGCTATGCAGTATGCCTGTGGATATGTACCATTTAAACTACTAAAGAAGTATGAAGGAAAAAATAAAGAAGAAAAGTCTAAGCACTTCTTAGACTGCCTAGGAAACATGGCTGTTGTAAGTGAAGAGCATGATCCTGATTTGCTTTCCTATACCAGACTCTGGTTTGAAACAGTAAACAGAGGGGGACTATTTCCACTGAATGATGAGACTCTCTCGTTTTTCACAGAAATAGAGAAATTAGTTCGTGTCATTCTGCCCAAACACATGGTAAAAGCCGACAGCACAAACAGTGTGAAAGAAGTAACTAAGGCTATTGTAGGTGATGATGAAGTGCAGTTCAAATGGACATTTTTGTCAATTGCTATTGACTCGGAAGAAGAGGCTCAAGAACTCCTACACGAAATTGTGCAACTATGGGTAACAGTTAGAGGATTCTCTATCGCTGCATCTTGGATGGAAACATACAAGCAAGCAACAAAGCAAACTAAACAGAAATCAACTGGTCTTAGAAAACACTTGTCATAAAAATTGAAAGAAACAATTATACACTCATGAAGCATTTTTCAGATATTAGGTACAACTGAACGTTTTCTTTTGGGTGAAGGTGCACTGTCAATTATAGCAGATTCATCAATCTCCATTTGGCGCTTTCTCCGACAGTTACCCCTTACAGGGTCAAGTGCGGTTGACCCTTGCACACGCAAGGCTGCTGCATTAACTAGGCACTGCTTTACAGTAGGATTTTCATTGCGTCCGCCTCGTGCCCTCTGCTTCCCAAAATAGTTCTCCAACGGATCCTGTGAGAACCTTTTGTTCAAGATGAAGAGGCCTTCCTCATTTGTTAGTAGATATCTGGTCATTTCCACAAAGGAATGCACTACAGAATCATACACAATAGCCCAACCACTATAATAGCTAGCCAAGGCCTCGTGGTTTAGATAGTTGTATATACATGCGCAATCTAATTCACATACCTGTGATTCGCAGGCCTTCCAGTGTCTCTTGACTCAGTAGTAACTTTCGTTTGTCTCCCTTCGATATATCAGTACGTCCATTGACAGCATCTTCCCAGTTTTTAAGATACATGAGGAAGTCATTTTCTAGCCACTGGAATAACAATAAAATACCACAATAACTAGTAATAGCTACGTATTAACTACTGTACCTTAAGTCTGTTATCATCTGGAGATGTATAAGGTTTCAAATCCTCCTTTCGTTTGGTTCTCCATTCAGAAAGGCTCCTGACATTGAGACAGTCAAAAAACCGATCAAAATTACGAACAAACACTTCTGTTTCGGTAGTTAAATCATCTCCAAAGTAAGCAAAAGCATCAGCCACTGATTTACTCAGCACCTGTGTATAGTAATATTAAGTGTGTGAATTATGCAGTCACTTCCAAAGTATAATATTATACCTGTGCTGCCAAGTCGACTCTCATTCGGGAAAACGGGGTAAGTTCAATGTGCTCCATCTTGAGCTTGGGGACCAGTGAAATTCCTGCGGCCATAGACTGCAGTTTCTGTATGATAGAGATCCCTCAGATGTTTCCATTCTATACATTTCCCATTGATCTAATCATTAATGAACAAAAACAAGACACACATCCTTACCAACATCCGCCGAGTTCCACAATCCCCAGAGTGAGACCAGCAATTTCTTGTGGTTTTTATCAAATGTGGTGGGTCAGAAATGAAGAATAAGGACTTATTTTCTGATGGACAAGCAAATGGATTGTGTGTCTTATATACAAGATTTTCCTGTCCGTGCATGCGAAAAAACTTCCGGTTTGCACTAGCACCATCGGCAACTACACAAATAACTTTGCACCCAATGTTTTCTAACTGGCGAATTGCTTCCCAAACAATTGGAAACAGCACATCAACTGTGACACCCTTTGTTCCAAAGTGGGCATACAGGAACTCTAACTTGAAAAAAATCCCCCTCACCATCAAAAACCAAGATATGGGTTGAAACTGGTAGTTTCGGTTTGCTTTCACAGTGCACTTTCTTTCCATCTCAGAGAGAATTTCACCAACATCCCCAACTGAAACAAAACCTACTATTTGTCCAGTATGTTTATCGTATACTAAATCTTCTTTTATTTTCATTTCATCAATCAGCAAGGCTACATATCTCTTTGACTGCGGAAGAGAATCAATGGCAGCCTCTTTTTGTAGTTGCTGATTCAACTCGGGTTGAAATCCTTGTTGACCTTTCACTTAGTGTGGAAGACGCAGAAACCCAGACGACTGCACAGTATGGTAAGCTGCACTAGATATCAGTTTTAGATTAAGACACCATTTTATCATGAGTGGGTGCCAGCGTATTTGTCTGGGATCTTTGACTGTGGCTGCTTTTAACTGTTCTTCCCAAAAAAGTCTGGCAAAACTTCCTTCAGGGTAGGTCTGCTTAATCTGTTCGTAATTCTCATTCAAAATAATAAGTAAGTCCCCATGGAAAGTTGGGTCAACTGGGTCACCTTGTTTCTCTGTCAGTTCAGCAATTCTTGCCCTTAGCTTTTCATTTTGTTTCTCAGCTACACGGGCCTTCTGTTTAAGTTTAGACATCTTTGCTTTCTTTTCAGGGTGTGTTTAAGTAACGCTCATTAGAATGGCTGCTAGTATCACTCATCTCACATGTACGCCTACGATTATACATGGATCGTAATGTGTCCCGATAAGACTTACAGGAAACACACTTCTGGGATTTTGCGACTAATTCACAAGACCCAGTACGTACAGTAGCCAGATAGTGCTCTCCATTTAGACCCACGGGAGCATAGCTATCAACAATGGCAGCAACTTTGCCATCAGATGAAAGAATTTTCCCCTTTTTCGCATTGACCATTGAAACAAAATGAGTGTCAGGTTGACCACAACAGACATGCAATTGATCCAGGATTAGCAGTAGATCACGTAGAGACTCTGAACTAAGTGTTCCAGGGAAAGCTTCCAGTGCGGAACATTTTTCTTTCACAAGTTTATGATTATGCACAAAAAGAGTCCAAGTTAGATCACTATCGATTTTTAAGCAGTGACTGATAATAACAGGTTGAGTGCTTACGGTTGGTACATTACTAACTTTACAAAGCGTAATAGATTGGACTGGGGAAGCACTAACATCCATCCAAGATGGACTTGGAAGAGTGATTGACTGGTGAAGTACCTCAATCGCAGGACACTCTACCTGGTTATCACTATCTCTCGAAGTTGCAGAGCATGCGGTAGTTGCGGTACCCAAGTCAGCAAGTAATGCAGGTTAATCATACGGCAGATCAGTTGAATCCGAATCCGAGGGAAGCACAGAAGATGAAGATAGATCACGGTTAGACGTTGTGGTTGCCACTGATCCATTGTTGGGGATACCACCTACTACAATCTATACATAACATGAATGTCTTTGCAGCTACACATATGCACTGTAATCTCACTTACCCTAGCTTCTGCTTTTTTCACACGTTCCTGGCGTGCTCGGTCTTTTCTATATGATGATCGCACACGACGTGGCATACCTGCATCTGGAAAAATGCGACACTAATTTTCAGTCCAGAGGTATCCTCATGTGTTAGTAAATACCAAATTTTAAAAATATTTCTTCGGATATTTCAGTACTTACAGGGATTAAACGAGATGAAACAGACATTTACTTACAGAGCATGTACTTAGTTAGGTTACTGCTCTCTTTTAGGGAACCGACCACACCAGTCACTCTACAGTAACACAAAACAGAAAATGGAGCACTAATCCTCGGTAAATTTCGTTCTAGGCTAAATTGTGGGGTGAAATTGGGTGAAAACAAACCTCTTTCCTTAATGCTGGCTCCACCTGACCTCGACCTGATCCGCTTGCTCTGTGTACCTTGGAGGCACAAAGCCACAGCGAAGGGCGTGTATCGACTCCCGCATGCTATCTACTACTGTAGCTAGCCCATGTCAGATTCTCCACGAGCTACTAGCGGGAGACGGCATTAGCGATACCGCTCATGCGCAGTTCGCCAAGGGTTTGCACTTCAGTGCTTTTCATTAATATAGCAGCAAGGATAGCAACTATAACTACAAGAATTTCGCTGCTGGATTTGCATGCATATCAGCTGAAATGTAAACTATTGAAAGCGTGTGTGCATGTGCAGAAGGAAACTGTTCAGCTGCATCAGCAGATATAAATCTTGACTGTATATATACACATCCCTCGAGTATATATAACCTCGTGTGCTTACAGTGCATTAAACGGGCAAACTCATACATGGTGGTTTCACTCCCTTTCTTAGTTCATGCACGCCCCACCAAGGGTTAAAATATGCACCAAAAAAGTTTGTTCTCACGAAGGTTTCTACAGTATGGTTGGCTTATATTATTATGATACTAAAAGACAAAGTGCTTCAGACGGCAGTTTTTCATTTGAAGACCTGAATTCGATCATTGTTCGTGTCACTAACATACACACGACCCTCAGGACTGACAGCAACTGCATATGGATCGTCAAACTCTCCATCATTCTTCCCCTTCTTGCCAAACGACCTGATGTACTTGTAGCACTCATCAAACAGCGACACACGATTGGAGTAGTTCTCTACCACATACACCCAGTCGTCAGGTCCAACAGCCACGCTGATTGGCCCCTGCAGCTTCTGGTCTGGCTCTGTATGAGCTATGGACGAGTGGTAACACCCACTAGCATCAAATATCTGAACTCTGTTGTTGAGATGGTCGGCTACGAGTACGTTCCCCTTTCTATCAACAGCTATCCCCTGAGGCATGTTGAATTCACCGGCTTCGCGACCCTTACTTCCAAAGCTGCCATAAAGAGACAGGTCGCTGTTGAGAATTGTGACGCGATTGTTGACTGTGTCACAGACGTAGACTCTGCTATTGGTTTCGCTGTGGGCTATAGCAAACGGAGTGTGGAAATGCAGCGGTCCACTGCCCTCTGAGCCCACAGACGCTATGAGCTCGCCATCCAGAGTGAATTTCTGTACACAATGGCAGGCTGCTACAAAGACGGTATTATCAGGTGAGATTGCTACTCCCAGTGGTTCCTCGAGTCGACTTTCCTTTGACCCCTTCCTGCCAAACGACCTCAAGTGGGTGTGGTCCCTGCCAAAGACACTCACACGGTTTGCATTCCACTCACACACAACTATCTCCCCGCTTGTGGCAAAGGCAGTGTGGCTAGGACGATTGACTCCGCTGATTGTCTTTAGATGAGTACCTTCGAATTTCGATGCAAGTTGCACTTGTCCTAGTTTCTCAAATGCTGAACTAAGATCTGCGCAGACTACACAAATCGCTTTCTCTGGACCTAACTCGAGTTTTTGATGTCTGAGCTCATCTGCAAGTTCCCGTGCCCTCTCCTCCACTTGTCTCTTCATCGACAGCACCTCCTCTTGTGTGCCACTCTGCAGACTCCCCTCCACAAACTCCACACAGCTCCTCAGCTGGGCCTGCCTCAACTCGTGTCCGTCAAGCCGGGCCGCCAGCTCTTTCTTCCCCTGACACACCTTACCATCGATCTGTGAGTGAAGCTCCCTCCTGCGAGCCTCTAGGAAGGCCTGGAGCTTGTCTACTGCAGCATCTACCTTTGCCTTGGCCTTTAAACCCTGTCCGTCTAGCCTGCTGGACCTTGCCTTCAGCCCTGCAATGGTGCTCCCTACACTAGCAAGTTCAGATTTGACGGGACCGAGGCAAGCAAGGATGGCATCTCTGTGCTTGGGAAAGACATCTTGGATGTGGTCATAGTTGTGGTCGCGATGGGTCTTGAGGGCACAGTCATGGCACAACAACTCGTCGCATGTCTCACAGTAAATCCTGATACGCTCAGCCGGGTGCCTGGGGCACAACATGCTACATTTCTTGAGAGTCACCAATTTCAAGGCTGTTTCTTTGACCTCGTCTATATCAGAAATATCGTGAGTCTTGAACTCTCTCCATCGGCTGTGCACGTCAAGACAGGGCTGGCAAATGAACTGGCCACAGTCTTGGCAGAAACCCTGCACCTCTCCCTCCCCACACTTGTCGCACTGCATCTTCTCCGGGTCACGCACCTTCTCCAAGACCTCCCTCACCTCGATAAGGTGCTGGATGTAGAAGGCGGAGGGGAGGCTTGACACGCCCCCTTCGGGGAGACGGACGGGCTTGCGGCAGTTGGGGCACGGGGCGCTCAGCTGTGTCCCCACCAGTTTCTCCAGACAGGCCTCGCAGAAGACGTGGAGACAGGGCAGCACTCTGGGTCTCTGGTACTCATCCAGACACACCGAACATGTTAGTTGTGTAGAGATCTTTCTCTCCATCTCGACAGCACGCGTAGCCACACCCCTCACGTAAACGGAGATGGGTGTGGCTACGCGATATAGTGCCTGCACACGCGCGCGCGCATGCGCTGTCTAAAGTTTACGAGCCCCTCCTCCGCACAACTGGCTCGCCAGTCCTTGACTCTCCGCGACGATCCCGAACTCCGTCCTCCTCTGCTCGCACCACCGGCAGGACTACTGGGTCTGGCTCGTACGGCAGTGTGGAGGAGGTTGCCATTCCCGGAGCCATGTGCGCTGCCAAGAAGATCCACGACTTTTTCCAGGACCCGAGACAAATGCCACGCCAGGGCATCGATAAAAAAGCGAGAGAGTTTGTGCGGGAGTGTCAGGTGATGAGCACCCTCCGCCACCCGCACATTGTCCAGTTTCTTGCCGTGTGTTTCCTGCCCGGTTCGAGGATGCCGGCGTTGGTCATGGAGAAGCTGGCGACCAGTCTCCACGATATTCTGGATCCTGAGCCTCCACCGCCGACCAAGCCCTTTGTGCCTGTGTCTCTAAAATGTTCCGTTCGTCATGACGTGGCCCGAGGGCTCTCGTTCTTACAGAGCCATTCGCCGCCCATCATCCACCGCGACTTTTCGGCCAGAAACGTTCTCCTGAACGAGGGGATGGTGGCCAAGATAGCGGACCTGGGCATGGCTCGCATCGTGCCGAATTCTGCGAGCTTCCACCATAACTAAGGCACCAGGAGCCTCCATCTACATGCCTCCAGAGGCTGTGGAAGACAAGTCAAGATACAGCATCACAATCGATATCTTCTCTCTTGGGGTTTTCATGAGGGACTGGTCATCCCCACAGAGTTTGCAGGCAGCACTCTCTCTCTTATTCCACAGACGGAGATTGAGGTTGTGTGGTAGTGTGTCCACAGCACCGTTAAGAACAAATTTGAACTGCTCGTCGGTTAGCATACTCAAAGCCTTTGCCCAAATATGTGCTGCCTCTGGGGTGGTGCAGCGTGACATGTAGCCTTGCTTTTCCAGCCCCTGCAGGTCCTGCAGCGTTCCCTGGTGGTCGTCTTCCTGGACTGGCTTTTTAGCTACAGTTGCTAGCCTCTTCCTTGTGATTCCAGGATCCATCACCATCACATCCCTCACCACCTCTGATGCTCGAAACTTGGATCTTGACAGAATAAGGTCCTTCTGAAGGTTTTGCTCCGCCATGTGTCGAACACCTGGATCACTGGAAGTAAGCAGTTGAGCCTGCCGGGAGACCTGCAACTTTTTGTGGAGCGTGGAAATCCGTGGGAGATTGAGACCGCCCATCTTTGTAGGGAGATATAAGAGTGCAGTGTTCGCCGAGCGTGTAAGCCCAGCCCATTTCTTTAGAAAAGAGGTAGCCACAGAATCGGCATTCTTTTCAACCCAAGAGATTGGGAACTGCTCTATGGTAAGCAGCCAGGAGAGCCGAGGGCACACCCCGGCTTTGTAAAGCAGTAGTTTCTGTTTCCTGGTGAGTGGGCATGTGTCAATGCAGCTCAGCATGCTACTGAGCTCAGACACTACCACCTTCCTTGATGTTGCATGGTTTGATGGTATCTCAACTCTCATCCCCAGAAACTTGACTGGCTGAGATGCATAGGGTATATGTTGCCCATCCACCAAGAGGCCTGGGTCAATCTTTTTACCAGATGACGACTGTATCGCTAAGGAGGCACATTTAGGAATTTTAGCTTTCATGCCTGACCACCTGAGCCACCATGCTACCATGTCCAGAAGATACTGACAGGAAGCTGGGGAGTCGGCCACTAGACAAGTGTCATCAGCATACTGGAGAAGATTGACTGGCTTCTGTTTATCGGAGAACCTGTACCCAAGATCCTGTCTATTTTGTAAGGTGTCAATCATGGTATTGACCAGTGTATTGAAGATCACAACAGATAACGGGTCACCTTGATAAACACCGACCTTTAAGGGATTAGTGGTGTTGTCCACTCCCTTGAGGTGACCTTAGCTTGTAGACCGGTGTAGAAGGCTTGAACTATGGCCTTAAACTGGGGAGGTGCACTGTAGTGCTCCAATGCAAAGCTGATGAGTGAGTGGTGAACGCTTCCATACGCATTAGCCAAGTCCAGCCAACACACTGCCAGTGACTTGTGTTTCTTCCTAGCATCCCCCAGTATTGTCGCCAGCTTCAAGTGGTGCTCGGTGCACCCAGGAGTTGTAGGCATAAATGCTTTCTGAACAGATGTATCAAAGAACTTGTTTGCGGTCATGTAATGAAGCCATCGGTTCTTCAGGATGGTAGTGAACAGTTTCCCTATACATGATGTTAGGGCAATTGGTCGAAAGTTAGATGGAACTGATGGATCCTCCTCAGCTGTTGCCTTGCCAATCAGTTTCACAGCAGCCACCTCTCTCTCTCTCTCTCTCTCTCTCTCTCTCTCTTGTGTGTAAAACTCTTCATTGTTTTGCATATACAAACAAACAAACAATGAGGTGTGAGGTGCACCCAGGCAGAGCTCTAGGCACATGACGAATGTGCCGCGCATTGACCTGGCCTCACTAGTACTAACATACATACACACAGAAGCTAATTGATGAAGTCAGGTGAGTCAGGTAACATGGTTCCTAGAGCTCCAGATGTAGAAGGAACCTAAAATGGTCGTTCTTGTAATCAGGAAACACGCAGAAGTGCACTCCTTTCTTGGTGCATCTGTAGCCTCACGTAGCAGGTCGAAGTCTGTATCGCCCAACATCCCTCGTGATCCAACCACTAGATTCAAAAGCTTCGTCCTGTAGCCTGCTGCTCTCCCAGCCTCCACCAGGTCATGGTACTTCGCTGCCTTCCTAGCTCTCGCATCAGCCACTCCAGACTCGTAGCTCACAGTGAGGTCTAACAGCCACAGCTCCATACGCTGGTCACTCTACCACACGATGTCCGGTCGAAGATTAGTGGGGGTGATGTGTTGCGGGAATCTGTAGACCTCTGAGGGGAGTTGATGGAGATGGAGAACTGAGGAGGCAGGTGGGTCTTGATGAAGTCACCGATGACCTGGAGGACTGCATCATGCCTATGGCTGCTCCATAGCCATGGGACAGTTGTTGAGGATGTGGGCATAGGGGGCAGATGTCGGAAGCCTTCTTTCCCCACATGTGAAGATTGGAGTTTGTTGGGAGGGTGTTGAGCGATGAATTCAGGCAGTGGCTCTGGAGGAAGTTGTTGAACAGCCCTCACCCACAGATCAGGTGAGGACTCCCCCCAGGCCCTGGCCATCTCTCCTTGGGCTGGAAGCTGGCAGAGTGAGAGGTGCAACCCGTCGTCCTCTTCCTCAGCCAGAAGAGTCTTGACCACACCTGACAAGGCCCTACGGCTCTGGGGGTGGTCTTGCGTCTTGATGGAGTCCACAAGAACGCAGGCCTGAACTTCAATCTCTGTCTCTTCTTCTCTTCCAGGAGCCGGAGATCTGCCACTTTCCTAACTCATGGATCATGTGACGTGATTAGCTGTACCATCTTGGATGCCTGCAACTTCTTGTGTTCTCTAACCAGAGATGGCAGAGCCAGACCACCCCTCTTGGCAGGGAGGAAGAGGATTGATGTGTTGGAGTGACGGGCCAGACCCGCCCACTTCTTGAGGGCCTTGGCTGCCAGAGGCTGCAGGCCACCCTCCAGCCATGTGATGGGGAAATCCTCAACAAGCAGGGGCCAAGAGAGCCTAGGGCAAACCCCATACTTGAAGAGGCGGAGCTTCTGCTGACGGGTCAGAGGTGTCTTGTCGATTGCCGTCAGCATTTGCTGCAAAGAACCCCGGAGAGAAGACCTTGCATCATCATTGCTGAGTGAACCCGCACTGGCATACCCAGGAACTTGAACGCCCCATCTTCAGCAGGGGGGATCTCACTGCCGCTGATTGTGAGTATAGGGCTCACTCTCTTCCCCGTAGATGCCTGAATGACCATGGAGCGGCACTTAGGCACCTTGGCCTTCAGTAGAGCCCACTCCAACCAGCGCTGCACCATGTCCAGAAGATGTTGGCAGCCAGCGGGGGTGTTGCTGATGATGCAAGCATCATCAGCATAGAGAAGGTGGTTGATGGTGATGGAGGATTGCGGGAGAGTGAATCATTGAGTGTTCATCACTGTCAGAAAGATGACCACACTGAGAGGGTCTCCCTGGTACACCCCTATCTCAAGAGGGACAGGATCTGTCGACCACGCATCTTTTGAGATGGTACCAGACAGGCAGAACTCTGGATCTCTCTCTCTCTCTCTCTCTCTCTCTCCCTCCAGACCACAACAGCAGCTGCCTCAACCTTAAAACCAGTCTTATCTGGAGCCAGATCTCTCTCTTCTGTAAGACAACCTTCTATACTACCATACCTACCAACCATCCTGCTTTTTGCTTGATAATCAAGCAAAAATACTGCATCCCTCCAAAAAAAATCGCCAAATCCCTCTTTTTTGTGTTACCCTGTGATGCATCATGCCTATACATTTTGAATGGACACACAGCATTTTCAAGCAAAAATACTCCAAATCAAGCAAATTCGACACATTTCTCAAGCAAAGGTTCATCTGCAGGTTGGTAGGTATGTACTACCCCTTCTCTGTGTTGTGATTATGAACACTTGATCATTTACTCCACCCCAGACTAAATCTCCAAAACCAATCATGTCAGGAGCCAGTCCTCTGCCTTCTGTAAGATAACATTCCTGTTTTACTGTTCATAGTGTGGTATCCTGTCCCCAGAACATGTCAGTTTATCTCACTTTTCAGGCCACACCTAAAGCCACTCCCACCGAAACTTCCACTGTAGGAGTCTGCTCTTTCATTCTGGTGTCTGTGTGCAAATGTACAAGTGTATGTTCCACCCATTTAGTCTTATCGACGTCAGTCATACACGGTTGTCATTAAGAATGTCAATTAGTCACGCTTAGGGAATGTCAATTAGTCACCAAAAGGAAGTGTAACTTCTGTCATTCGTAGGAAGTCTAGCTTCCGCCGTGCGCGCAGATTCGTAGGAAGGCGCGCAGTCAGTAGAGCGCGCGCACGAGCGGCCTCAGTCGGACTGTTTACGCATTGGCTGGCAGGCGCGAGGCAAAATATGCGCGTGCGCATTCCTAGTAAAATAATATTCTGGAGCGGAGAAGGCCGGGGAAGCTGGTGACCCGAACGGCTGCCGAGGTGAGTGTGCCGCGTCAAATAGAGATCGCGAACCATCGTTGTACTTAGATGCTAGATGCTTTGCGCGTGTGGAGAAGATTTGCTGGTCTGGCTGTATTGATGGTACAGTTGAGGATTGCCGGTGAAGTGAGAGCAGCACACGCCCCAGTGAATCCGTTCAGTGAAGGAGTCACTGAGGTAGTGTAGCTAGTATGTAGCTGAATAGTGGTGAGGGTTGTCAAGACCAGTGGCAAAAACTGACGGGCTGCTGAAATAAAGAATAAAGTGGCGAGGGTTTATGCACTTTCAAGTGCTTTTCATTATTATGTGCGGAAGGCCTAATTCATTGCACATCACATTCATTTTGCCCTGTGTACTGTACTGTGCAGATGCTGTGGAAGGTTATTGGGCGGCGGCCAACTAGCTGGAAGCCAAAGTTTAGACAGTAATAGAGTGGCTCGCTAGCGAATCTACGAGACACCACATTAATTAACCGTGGTCGAAAGGTTACGATTATTATAGCAACAGCTCTGGGGCAGTTCACAAAAACATATCGAATCGCTGCGCAGTGCGCGTGCTGAGTTGCCTTCGCTATAATTGCACCCAGAGATTCGGTCGAGGAACACAGCTCAGTCATTCAAATATCACCTAAATTCTTAATGTATTTTAGTTTTGCATTGCAAAAATGTTATAAAAAAGCTATGAGGCTATAATTTTACGTGACTGATGTGTTGTACTTCACTGCGCGTGGGAAATACCGCCCATTTCAAAGAATTCCTGGGTCGGAGAGAAGGAAACGCTTTTATAGTCGCCCCCAGGTGAAATCGCACCACCTATTAGCAGGGCCAGGAGCACGAGGAAATAGCTTGCGTTCATAGTCGGATGAACAGGTTATTAGCCGAGGAAGAAATCCTTTTTCCTTAGTTGCAGTGAGCAGTTTGGATTTGCTTCGCCAATGACGGCTAGGAGAATGCGCGCCTTTTTAATACTGCTCCATCTCCGATGCGGCGCTAAGGCGCCTTGCGCATGTGCACCACTGCCCATGCTGTTTACTGGTTCAGTTTCCCCTTTGGCCCTGGGCTTAACTTCCTGCGGAAGGTTTCTGGGCAACCCGAAGCCCACGTGCGGGAAGCTGGAGTTTTGACTAGCGAATCCGCGAGCCACCACACCTAATTATTAACCGTGGTCGACAGGGTACAATTATTATAGCAACAGCTCTGGGGTTGTTCACAGAACATATCCTTGCATATGTGCACCACTACCTGGCGCCTGCCCCCGTGGTACATTCCCTGATGTTTACTGGTTCGGTTGCCCTGGGCTTAATTGCATTCTAACACCCGCGCCTGCATTCTAGTTGCTGCCTGTGCGCAGCTATAGCTAAGTGTTTTCCGCAGACCCTTTCCTCCATCCCCCGCAAAATTAGGGGAAGTGGCCGAAGCCGAGACTAGGTAAAGCCTCATAAATTTAATTGCTGAATTCATGGAAGCCAATAGGTGGTCAATGCCTCTGGCCATGTGCTAGCTATCCCTTATGGCGTGTAAACAGTGTCAAAAATAGTACGCACGCGCGGTGATGATGAGGTCGGTCTACTTTGCTGAGAGGTCGGTCCGCTTTACTATATATTAGAAGTCGGTGTACTTCAGTATTAGAGGTCGGTATACTTTTTAGGAGGTCGGTCCGCTTTACTAGGAGGTCGGTCCATTTTACTAAGAGGTCGATCTACTTTACTAGTAGCGGTCGCTCAACTTCACGAAGAGGTCGGTCTATTTCACTTGAAGGTCGATCCGTTTTTGCGTGTGCAAAAACAAGATGCATGCACAGAAGGAAACTGTTTAGCTGCATCAGAGTGATTGCGTTCATAAGAGACTGGGTGTACCTTGCCCTAGTTTCCATGTGTAGCTAACAGAAGTTTAGGGTTTAGCACATAGCTATATACACACTGATTCATTGACAAACCAGAGGATAATTATTCAGAAGAGAGGTTGTGTAGTCTATGTGATGTGAGGCCCAAGACCCCTTTTGACCTGCAAGGTGAAAATATACAGCTAACTAGACACCGTAGGTTGTAAACAACGCCTCAGGGATCCTTATTAATGATTAGGCTTCACTGGTTACTAGGGTAAACCTAGTCTCGGCCCCTACCCTTTCTTCTAATTTTGCGGGGGGAGGGATGAAATACGCATGGACGGTAGAGTTTCAAATGGTTTGCTCTACGTGGGTGAACTGAATTCCAATAGGTGATGGGACTTCCCCTGCAGGGGGCGATTATACAAGCGTTTCCTTCTCTCCCACACAGGAATTCCTTGAAATGGACGGTATTTCCCATGCGCAGTGAAGTACTTCAAAAGGTTCTGTTCAGTCTGTATTATTATACATCAAGACACACATGAGTCACGTAAAATTATCCTTTTTACACCATTTTTGCAATGCAATTGCACAGGATACACACAGTAGCTCTATAGCTGACAATGGTGGTGCACCCAGAGACAAGACAAAAAACAAAAGTAGAGACAAAACTAAAATACATTAGCATAAATTAGACTTTAGATGATTACTCGAATGACTGAGTTGTGTCCCTCCACCGAATCTCTGGGTACTATATTAGTGAAGGCAACCAGCGATTCGATATGTTCTGCGAACGGCCCCAGAGCTGTTTCTATAATAATCGTAGCTACCCTTTCGACCACGGTTAATTTAGGTGTGGTGGCCCGTGGATTCGCTAGCTAGCGTACTATTTCCGTCTAAACTCCGGCTTCCCGCATGTGGGCATCGGACCGCCCTGAAACCTTCCGCAGGAAGTTAAGCCCAGGGCCAAAGGGGATACCGAACCGGTAAACACAGGGAACGTACCACCAGGCAGTGGTGCACATGCGCAGAGCCCGCTCGCGCCGCATCGGGGATGGCGCAGTATAAAAAAGGTGCGCTTTCTCCTCGCCGTCATCGGCAAAACTGCTCACTGCAACTAAGGAAAAGGGATTTCTTCCTCGGCTAATAACCTGTTCATCCGACTATGAACGCAAGCTATTTCCTCGTGCTCCTGGCCCTGCTAATGCCTCTGGCCACGTGCTATCCCCAGCCCGCCCTGGATGAGGACAAGGAACAAGAGTATGGAGAGATGGCTCAGTCAGGTTTAATACTGCTCTCTTTGCTCCTGCGCATTTAGCTAACGTGTTGTGCCGTGTTCCTCAGATGATGGTGAGGAAGATGATTCAAATCTGGAAGGCATGCTGAGAATGATCCAGCAGAGGGGAGGAGATGAAGATGAGGATGGTGGAGAAAATGCACTGGTGATGCAGGATGAAGACGGGGGAATGATGAAGCTGGCATGCAAGCACGTAAGCATTAGTAAAGACTTTACAAAACCTTCCAGCTTAGTTAAAGGGGAAGAGAATGTGTCGGTATACCTAAGGGCTAAATAGGGAACTAAACTATAGAGCCCAGTGCAAGAACACTCCCAGATATATTTTTGAGTTAACTAAGAGATTTTTTCTCCTCACACAGAAAAACGCTGTGCGACCCACATCTATGTGATGGGATTCACATCTGGATCAACCAATTCCGGTTCAGACGACCTGCCCTACCTGTTTGTCGACCTCTACAACCATGAGGAGGGCTCCGCTCAGTTCCCCACAACCCCGGCAACGACATGCTCAAAAACAAGGGAGACTTCTGGAAGTTCAGTCTCAAGAAAGACCTCAAGCTGAAAAAGAGCTGCATCACCAAGGCCGACATTAACAAGATCGTCGTACACAACGGAGGCAACGACGGATGGAAGATTGAGTCCATCTTCACCATCCTGCGTTCTGGGTGGTATTACACTGTCGTGACGGCCAATGTCGGACTCAACAAATTCGTTGATGGGAATCCAAAGGGGAAGATCTCCTTCCACCAAATCTCACTCACCAAGACATACAACTCCTGAACACAACTAATACAACTGCTGTAATGACAAACTGTAAACTCTTGTTAAGTGCTGAATAAATATTGCAATTTCGCAATTTGGAGTGGCATTAAATATAGCAGCAAGGATAGCAGCTAACTGCATACCTTCATTGCTGGATTTGCATGCATATCAGCTGAAATGTAAACCATTGAAAGTACGTGTGCAAAGACAAGATGCATGCATGTGCAGAAGGAAACCGTTTAGCTGCATCAGTAGATATAGAATTGTCAAATCTTGACTGTATTAGATAGTCGGTAGACTCTCTATATAGGGATGACGCGGGTGAAATCTCACGTGATCCGGACTATAAACTCGGTGAGAATCATTCCCTAGGCCTTCAAAACATACTAGCAATAGTATACGGGCCCCATATCTACCTATATACATGTCCCCCAAGACGTCATACGCACCTTCAGTCGTCCACGGGAGAATTCACTCATACGCGATTTGGTATCGCTAATGGGCCGCCTGTAATAAGCATCGACACATTACCAAAGCCTGCCCATGAAACCACAACTATGTGCAAACCCTCTAGCTTGCTGTGGATTTGCACGAAGAGCAACTTCCCAGAGTCTGCGCGGTGTTACGCGAGCCTTGCGCTCAGTCAAATGGGCCTTCATTGCTTGTCCCCCCAAGGTTGTCGACACATTACCAAAGCTTGCCCATGAAACCACAACTAGTGAATACCCTCGGCGAACTGCGCATGCGCGATACTGCTAATTGATGGGCTGGGCTATTTTGTGTATGCGTATATTCATGGCTCCCGCTAGTAACCCGCTGAGAATCTGACACGGGTTAGCTACAGTGGTAGATAGCATGCGGGAGTCGATACATGCCATTCTTCGTCACTTCCTGAGCCCCCAAGGTACACAGAGCGAGCAGATCAGGTCGCGGTATGCATATTGGCTGTTTTCACGGCTCGAACGCAGTCGTTTCAGCAAAATCGCCCTTTTATTTATCAGGCTCGCGTAGTTCTGAAGCGGCTGGTATCGCTAATGGGCCGCCTCGTAGCCTGTAGTGCCAGAATAAGCGTCGACAGACAGACAGACAACCAACTACAGTAACCCTCGGCGCGCATGCGCAGCCAGGGTTACGGTAGTGTCTGTCTGTCTGTTACCACGTTTTCTGCCACCACGCTCAACAAACAGTCCAAAAAGCGACACCAACGGGTTCAGCGCTACACTGGCTTCATTTTAAACTGGCGAGTTAAAAGTACTGCGTTCAAAAGTTATGGCGTGAAAAGTAAGTGAACAAGCCAATATGCAAATTAGCACGGGCTTACCTCGACAAGATGTGCTTGATCTGCGTATATACCTTGGAGGCGTAAGACGTCACACCGAAGGGCGTGTATCGACTATCTACTACTGTATAGCTAGCCCGTGTCAGACTCTCCGTGTGCTAACTAGCGGGAGACCACATAGCTACTACGGGCCCATCAATTAGCGGTATCGCGCAAGCGCAGTTCGCCGAGGGTTTGCACTTCAGTGCTTTTTCATTGAAGGCGGTATCTAGCCCCTGCTTCAGGCACTATAGCAGCCCCATTAGCTACTACTTTCAAGAGTTACAATTTGTCATGGTAGCCTAAGTATCTACAGCAAGCCCATGAACATCAGAGTGACTCTAACAATTAAGCTTCTTTGTATATACATACGAGAATGCACAACGCGACATTACATTGGATCGACAGTATGGACCTTAGTGGAGCAGTCTATATAATAATTATAGTGCCGTCATAGTAGCTGAGGTTGTAATACAGAGTGCTTACGGACACAAACGTATCTCCATGTCAACCACATGCACAGCATTGGTAAATTTTCACTTAAAAAAGAGAGATGGTAGAACAGTACAGCACCTCTACTTAGGTCATAAAGACCGATCCGTATGCTACTGATGGTAGCCCACAGCAGCTGAAGATGCTCGGCTAGCAGACATGGGAGAGGATAAGAAAGGACCCAATCACTACTGTCACTGCTCAGGACTCTGATTCTAGTATCACTCCAGTAGTCATCACCAAAACTAGTACCACCTGACCACTGAGTGAGGCCAGTGCAAAAGCCTTCACAGGAGGTCTGGGGAGCTCGCTCCACTCACCACTCTCTGGGTTGAACCAAATGACATTGTTGGGATTGGGATCAGAACCTCCACAGTACACCATTCCATTGAATTGATGACTACTGAAGCCCACCATAACCAATCAGTGGAGATATCCTTCCCCTTCCTCCAGTTCAGTGAGAGTGGCCACTGAATCTGCACAGTACAGTACACAGGGCAAAATGAATGTGATGTGCAATGAATTAGGCCATCCGCACATAATAATGACAACTGTGTATGACTGTATGACTGATGTAAATAAGACTTAATGGGTGGAACATACACTTGTACATTTGCACACAGACACCATGTACTTGTTACAGTCGAAGTTCCGGGGTTGTCCCAGTTTTTTATTTGAATTCGATCATTGTTCGTGTCACTAACATACACACGACCCTCCGGACTGACGGCAACTGCATATGGATCGTCAAACTCTCCATCATTCTTCCCCTTCTTGCCAAACGACCTGATGTACTTGCAGCAGTCATCAAACAGCGACACACGATTGGAGTAGTTCTCTACCACATAGCTACACCCAGTAGTCAGGTCCAACAGCCACGCTGATCGGCCCCTGCAGCTTCTGGTCTGGCTCTGTATGAGCTATGGACGAGACTAGCATCAAATATCTGAACTCTGTTATTGAGATGGTTGGCTACAAGTATGTTTAACCCTCTCTATCAACAGCTATCCCCTGAGGCATGTTGCTTCGCGACCCTTACTTCCAAAGCTGCCATAAAGAGACAGGTCACTGTTGAGAATTGTGACGCGATTGTTGACTGTGTCACAGACGTAGACTCTGCTATTGGTTTCGCAGTTGGCTATAGCAAAGGGAGTGTGGAAATGCAGTGGTCCACTGCCCTCTGAGCCCACAGACGCTATGAGCTCGCCCTCCAGGGTTACACAATGGCAGGCTGCTACATCCCCTGGTCCAACAGTGGCTAAATAATATCGTTGAAGAGAGACCGACCATCCAACAAGTGATGGAGTGGCTGGAGCTGGCCAGAGCTGAAGTTGAAGATAGTGAATATGATGTAAACAAACTGTCACTAGCTCAAATACTGCAGTCCAAAACATCCACATCCAACAGCAGCGAGCCCCCTCCCTCCCTCCTTCCCTCCCTCCCTCCCTCTCTTTTCTCTCTCACTCTCTCTCTCTCTCTCTCTCTCTCTCTCGTGTGTGAAACATCTTCATCTTGCACAACGATACAAAAATGAGGGGTGGTTAACTCCAATGGTCATATTGTCTAGGTGATACACAAAACCACCGCACAATCACAAAGGAACCACAAAAGCCAACCTGAAGGGGGATCAGCTCTGACCTGTACCACCTAGCCTTGGCCTCCTTGGGACTCTCTCTCTCTCTCTCTTCCTCCAGACCACAACGGCAGCTGCCTCAACTCCAACTGGAGCCAGATCTCTCTCTTCTGTAAGAAAACCTTCTATACTACTCCTCTGTGTGGTGATTACGAACTCCAAAACCAATCATGTTGGGAGCCAGTCCTCTGCCTCCTGTAAGATAACATTCCTGTTTTACTGTGCATAGTGTGGTATCCTGTCCCCAGAACATGTCAGTTTATCTCACTTTTCAGGCCACACCTAAAGCCACAACCACTGCAACCAGTAGATGGTGTATGTGTGCAAATGTACAATTGTATGTTCCACCCATTAAGTCTTATTTACATCAGTCATACAGTCATACACAGTTGTCATTATTATGTGCGGATGGCCTAATTCATTGCACATCACATTCATTTTGCCCTGTGTACTGTACTGTGCAGATCCAGTGGCCACTCTCACTGAACTGGAGGAAGGGGAAGGATATCCCCACTGATTGGTTATGGTGGGCTTCAGTAGTCATCAATTCAATGGAATGGTGTACTGTGGAGGTTCTGATCCCAATCCCAACAATGTCATTTGGTTCAACCCAGAGAGTGGTGAGTGGAGCGAGTTCCCCAGACCTCCTGCGGAGGCTTTTGCACTGGCCTCACTCAGTGGTCAGGTGGTACTAGTCGGTAGTTTTGGTGATGACTACTGGAGTGATACTAGAATCAGAGTCCTGAGCAGTGACAGTAGTGATTGGGTCCTTTCTTATCCTCTCCCATGTCTGCTAGCCGAGCATCTTCAGCTGCTGTGGGCTACCATCAGTAGCATACGGATCGGTCTTTATGACCTAAGTAGAGGTGCTGTACTGTTCTACCATCTCTCTTTTTTAAGTGAAAATTTACCAATGCTGTGCATGTGGTTGACATGGAGATACGTTTGTGTCCGTAAGCACTCTGTATTACAACCTCAGCTACTATGACGGCACTATAATTATTATATAGACTGCTCCACTAAGGTCCATACTGTCGATCCAATGTAATGTCGCGTTGTGCATTCTCGTATGTATATACAAAGAAGCTTAATTCTTCAGGTTCCCCAATTCATTGACATAATCCCCTATTATATATATACGGCACACACATTATAAATGCCGAGTATAATGAAAAGCGCTAAAGTGCAAACCCTCGGCGAACTGCGCATACGCGATACTGCTCACGTCGCGACTCTGACACGGGATAGCTACAGTAGTAGATAGCATGCGAGAGTCGATACATGCCACTCGTTGTGACTTTCTGAGCCCCAAAGGCACACAGAGCGAGCGGATCAGGTCTCGGTAAGCCCAGTACGATTATGGACATCCTTGCTCAATTTGTTTCCCATCGAGGACATAGATCAACAATGACTGAGGAGAAAAACCGCTTGCTCGTCCAAGGTCAAGAGAACAGAGATCAACAATGACTGAGCAGAGAAACTCTTTAAGGTTCCGGAGAATTGTGCGTGGGCGTACGTATCAGATATTTTTTTCAATAGCACTCGTGCTTTATAGTGAATTTAGGTATATTTCTC